GGGAAAACAAGAATGGGGAATGGACAGCACCTCTCCACTGGCGGTGGCGCGGGCGAGGACAGCACCGGCATTGCGGACAAGGCACCATACGCGGCACACAGGGGAGGGGAGAAGGAGCAAGCAGGAAACCCCCTCGCGAGCCGGGTGGACTTGCCGCCCGGGGCCACGCCGCTGCATCCGGGAATGAGGGGACGTGCCTTGCCCGGCTCGCGCACAGTGCCTGACGGTATCAAACGAGATTCGGCGAGGGGGGGATGTCGGGAGAAGGGGGGCCTCCACAGGTGATCCTTCTCTGCTTGCCCCTCGCCTGGCCGCCGCACACCATGCATGCCCGGGTGTGCGCTTGTGCAAAGATGCACACCACCAGAGAGGGCCGCCAGTGGCCCGGTTGCCGGGTCTCTCAAAATGGAGAGAGAGCAAAACAGGACCCCCACGGGAGGGGCGAGAGCCCGAGGCAGGGAGAGGGGGAGAGGGGGAGAAGGAGAGGGGGAGAGGAGGAGAGGGGGAGAGGGAGAAGGAGAGGGAGAGAGGGAGAGAGAAAGCGACAAACAGAGAGAAAGCGACAAACAGAGAGAAAGCGACAAACAGAGAGAAAGTAACAAATGGAGAGAGAAAGCGACAAAGAGAGAGAAAGCGACAAACAGGGAGAAAGGAAGAAGAGGGAAGACAACAGAGAAGGGGGAGGAGATTGGAGTTTTGAGGGGACTATATTTCGAGGACACAAGTTCTGGAGCGCATTGCACGCGCGCGCGCGCGCCCAACAAGAGAGGGCGGCAGCAGCAGCAGCAGCAGCAGCCCAGCACACTCCTCCGCGGGAAACACCCAGTGCCAGGACAGGGGAGGGGCACTTAAGCGTAGGGGGAGTAGAGCAGGCGGTTGGGGGAACCCTTGACGTCGGTGATGACGTTCTTGGTGGAGTTGTTGATGAGGTTGTTCTTGACGGTGGAGGGGGACAGAGAACCAGACTGGCCCATCATGAGGGCAGCAACACCGGCAACGTGGGGGGTGGCCATGGAGGTACCGGAGATGGTCTTGGTGGCGGAGGGGGAGCCGATCCAGGTGGAGGTGATGGACACACCGGGGGCGAAGATGTCGGTGCAGGTACCCCAGTTGGAGAAGGAGGCACGGGCATCGTTGCGGTCGGAGGCGTTGACGGTGACGGCGTTGGTGACACGGGCCGGGGAGGAGTTGCAGGCATCGCGGTTGTCGTTACCGGAGGCAACGATGACGGAGACACCGGCGTTGATGGCGGCGCGGACGGCATCGTCGACGGTGTTGTTGGCACCACCACCCAGGGACATGGAGGCGATGGTCTTCTTGTTGGAAGACTTCTTGTGCTGCTCGGCGACCCAGGAGACACCGGCGGCCACGTTGGACAGGGAGCCGGAGCCGTTGGCACCGAGGACCTTGACACCGATGAGGGAGGACTTCTTGGCAACACCCCAGGTGGCACTGCCGATGGTGCCGGCGCAGTGGGTGCCGTGACCGTTGTCGTCGTTGGCGTTGGAGTTGCCGCCGTGGAAGTTGTAGCCGTTGACCGAGCGACCGCCGAAGTCGGTATGGGCGTTGTTGATACCGGTGTCGACGACGTAGACGTTGACACCAGCGCCAGCGTGGTTGTAGTAGCTGTACTTGGTGTTCATGGGCAGGTTGCGCTGGTCAATGCGGTCCAGGCCCCAGGTGGCGTTGTTCTGGGTGATGGCATCGATGCGGACGATCTGGTCGGCCTCGACGTAGTCGACGATGTCGGAGCGGGCGCGGATGCGGTCGAGCAGACCCTCGGGGATGAAGCCGGCGACGGCCTTGAACTCGCGGCCGACGCTGAAGAAGCGGCCAATGGAGATGGAGTCGGCGAAGACGCGGGCATCAGCCATGGAGACGTCCGGGCGGAAGACGACGATGTACTGGCCGGGGATGATCTCAGCATCGTAGTTCTGGATCAGGGGGGCGAGGAACTCCTCCTGCTCGGTCTCGTGGTGGACGTTGGCCGAGGCGGCGGCAGCGAAGAGGGCAAGGGTGAGGATGGCGTAGAGGGCCTTCATGGTGGAGAGGGGATGTGTGTTATGACCGGGTCTCGGGGGGGGAAGGGTGACTGGGCAGAACGGGTTGACCGGGGGCTGGGCTGCCTGGGCAGGCGGGTCAGGGACTTAAATACCCGGGGGGGGGCGGGGCGGGGGGCGGGGGGGGCTGCGTGCGTGTTGGCCCCACACCGCCCGGGCAGGGGCGTCCGGCCGGGCGGATATACACCCTGGCGCCGGCGTCCGAGAGCCCGGGGCAGCCCGGGGGACAGAGAGGGACCTTCCTGGCACCTGCGTGCTATTGCCTGACCGGGGGGGGGGGGCCGGCAGCCGGTGTGCCCTACGCGCGGCGGGCCGCCGCCGGGCCTCGAAACCGGGCTTCCCCGGGGCGCGAGAGGGGCCGCCGGGACACCACCGGGCTGCGGGCCAGCCATGCCCCCCCCCCCCCCCCCGCCCGGTTCAGCGGGCCCCAGCGGCCTCGGGACCCAGTTGAACAGGAAGGACCCGCCGGAGAAACGGGCCTGGGGCGCGATGGCGAAGACACTAGGCAGGCCTCCCCCACCCGGCCCAGCGCCGCGGCCGGGCGGAAGTGCGAGAGAGGCAGAGAGAGAGAGAGAGCGGAGTCGTGCTGGCTCGCGCGCCGGCCCGCGCCGGGTCACGCGCTGCTCCCCCTGGGGGCTTTCCGTGACGCGGCCGCGGAAGCCGACCAGTCGTGAGCGGGGAATGCGCGGGAATATTCGGTCTGCGCGCGGATGGGGGAAGCGTGCGCAGGCCGAGCGGGGGCCGGGGCGTAGAGAGAGAGGCAAGGGGCCACATCATGGCCCAGGGCGCCGGTGCACCTGGCCTCCCGGATGGCGGCGCCAGGCCGCCCCGGGGTCAGTCTCCCCTGGGGGGGGGGGGGGGCGCTGGCCGGCCAGTGTGACCGCGCTGTGCTCCGACTACTGGGAAAACCGCGCGCGCACACGGTCGGGACTGCGGTGCCCAGCTGGGGGGACACGAGGCGGGAGAGCAGCCGCCCTGCCCTCGGGCCGGGCCCAGTCCCCCGCGCCCCATCGCCGGCGGCCGGAGAGGCGTGCGTCTGCGCGCGCACACGCCCAGCCCCGCCCCCTTCCCGATCGGCCGCCATCCCTCCCGGCGCGCGCGTACCCTTGGAGCGAGGGGTCAAGAGGGGCAAGCCCGCTCCGGGCCGCGGGTCAGGAGGGAGGCCGGGGGGCGCTCGCGACCAGGGCCTCTCGTCGTCGGGGGGGAAAAACCGCCGAGCACGTTGGGCGGGCGGCGGGCGGCAGCGGGCCCGAACCAGGGGACCTGGCATGCGGCGCGGGCAGCGCCGCGAGCCCGACATCGGCAGCGCGTAGGGTGTAGGGGGGGGGGGCGTCTCGCGCCCAATCCCGGCCGAGGCCGCGAGGCATCCCCACCGATGGACTGACCTTGTGTGGCACTTCGCCGATGTGCATACGCGCGCGCGCCGGAGGGGGGGGGGGGCACATGCGTGTGTGTGGTGGGAAAATAAACACACGCCCCCGGAGGAGGGCCCAAACTTGGCCAATAAAAACTCGGCCATTATATATTTCGGTGCCCCCCTCTCGGGCTTGCCCACGCGTCTCGGCGCCGCGCGAAGGGGCCGAGGGGGCCCGGGAGAGGATACGCCGCCCCTCGGCCGGGCGGAATCTCCGCGCACAGGCGGCCTCCGGGCATGCCCTTGCCGGGGCGCGCGTGCCTCTCTCTCCCCCCCCCTGCTTCGGGTGCTGTTTGGGGCCGGCGCGGCTCGCCATTCCGGGGCGCGGGGGGGGAGGCTCCCCTGCTGGGCCCGCGCGCCCGAGCCCCGGGGGAGTCGCTATCTCCCCGGGCAAAGTCCGCCGGCTAGCGCATGCGCTCACGCGCGGAGCCTGCGGCCAGACCCACCGCGCGGTATCTGCCCCGCGCCCCTGTTGAGCATCCCCGGAGCGGTGACCGCCGCCCCCGCGAGGGGCGCGCCCAGTCGGTCACACTGGCCGGCTGTCGCCCTGGCGCCCGGGGACCAGCGGGGCCCCCGTTTCGTGGCGTCAGATACGCAACGCCCCTCCCCCCCCCCCGGCCCATAGCCCGCTAGCGGGCTGGCTGGCGCGCGGGCCCGGGTCATCTAGCGCCAGCCGGCGAGCGTGGACGCGCATGTGAGCGCCTGCGCGCGCGCGCGCGCCCCGGGCGCCGGGCGCCGGTGCTTTCCGAGCAGCCCGAGCGCCAGCGTGCCGACCCACCCCGCCATGCGGATGCGCGCAGGGCTGCTCCGGCCTCCCGGCCTCCCGGTCGGCTGCTCCGCCGGGGACGAATATTCTCCGCGCGTGCGCGCGCCGGGCGTGCTTGTCCAGGACAACCCCCCCGCCCTCGGGTCTCGGTTGTTATGCCGGCCTCCCCCGAAGGGCCGGCGGCGGCTCGCGCGGGGGCGGGGCTGGCCACGACAACGGCGGCTGCTCCGACCGCGGTGTCCGGCCCCGCGCGGGCGATATCCCCCCCCCCCCGGCATCGGGGGGGCCGGACATGAGAGGGCCGGCCGATGGCGCTTTCCGGGGCGCCGGCCGCCGGTGGCATGTGTGTCTCTTGTTGTGGCGAGGCGCCTGGCCCAGTAGCCGGGGGCGGTGATCCCGCTGCGCTCCTCCGCCGCGCCGCGGCCCTGCGTGCTGGGCCCCCGGCCTCCTTCGCGGGGGCCGGGGGGAATTAGGGCCATGCTGGCTGCCCCCGCTCCGCGGGCGCCAACCCTCTGGCGGCGGCTGCGTGCGCCCCCCGCGGGGCCGCCGGGGCCGCACCCGTGTGACCGCTCCAACCCTGGCGGCCGGCCGTGTGCGAGAGAGCCAGGGCGGCCGGCGAGGACGCGCGCAGTCACGCCTCCCGGCCGCGGCCCAGCGATCTCGGCGCCCCGGACCGCCGCCGCCGTGCCCCCCCCCCCTGGCCGATACGCACCCCAAAGTCGCGCGAAACAATAACAATGACCCTAGGGAAAGGCGCCGGGGTGCTGAGATGCGTCCTCCCCCCCCCCCCTTCGCCCCCGGCGGCGCCCCACATCCCACCGCGGCCGTTGGCGTGCTTTCGCGTCCGGGCACGCGGTCCACACGCCCCCCGAGGGTCGCGGGGACCGAGAAAAGGACGACGGAGGGGCCTCCGCGTCCGCGAGGGGCCGGACATTCCGTCCCCTTTGGTCCCCCCATTTTCGCCCACCCCAGCGAGGCGTGTGACACGCGCCCCCGACGGCTGGCAGGGGCTGGGCGGGGCGGGCGCCATCCTTCCCCTTCCAGAGACCCCCGGGCCAGGCCACAGAGGGGACCGGCCTCGGGCGAGCGGGGGTGTGTTCGCTGCGGCCTGCGTGCCCGGCCCCGGCGCCTGGGGGACGGCCATGGTGGGCGGATGTTATTGCTTGTGTCCTGCGCCCCTGGCCGCGTCTTCCCCCCCCCCCCCTGCTGCCGCGGGCCCGGCAAAAGGGTCAGCCCCCGGCACACGGCCATCCCCGCGCCGGGGGGATGTGCGGGACGCGTCCGGCGTTCCGCCCCCCCCCCTGCTCCGGACGTCCGCCTCCCTGCTCGGGCGAGACCCTGTCTGGACCCCGAGGCAAGCGGCACCCGGCGAGGGGGAGCGGGCGAGGGATGGCGGAGACCGGAATGCCCGTCGGCCCATCCTGGACGCCCCACTTCCAGCTGCCCAAATCATCCCGCCCGAACCGTGGCGGCCGGAGACGGCCGGAAATTCGCCCAGGGTCGATGGGGCGGGCCGCCCGGGGCGAGCGAAATATCCCCCGCCGTCCCCGGTGGTGATGGCGCTCCCCGGGGTGTCTTCCCCACCCACCCCCGGCGACGAGTGACCAACGCGCCCCTGGAACAGCGTTCCCGCGAGAGGGAGGATAACGTGACGAGAGGGGCGCTGTAGTGGAATCCCCATGTAAACGATAGATGAAGCAACACGTGAGTGAATTGCCACACGTGTTACATCGTGGGAA